TAACAATAATCAGGCAGTAGTGATAACATGACAACTGAGGGATCTTTACCAAGTCCATTTGATATATATCTTCTAATAATTCCAATGTTTAAGCATTTGTTTACTATTCTCAATGATGCTAAAAATCTTATATGACATGTAGAGATGGATGATTTGTCATCCAACTAACTCTATGCATTAGAAAAACTTTGATAATGAGTTTTTCCAAGTTGGAGATGAGTCAAGAAATCTTAAAATTAGATTGACCATAGATTAAATGACTTCGTTTGGTAATTTAAATATTAATCATAGTTCATCACCCATTTTAACTGTTTATTTACAACTTATTTTCAAACATGTGTATGAAGCATAAATTCATAATGTTATTTAATGACAATCTTAGGCAAGACAATCAAGAAATGACATATGACAACGTTGTATGCTAACATAAGATGTTATTATCTATGATGGTGTTTATCCTGTTTAAATCATTGAATGTTGTTAACATATGAGGACATTTTTTAACATTGGAACTATCGACCTACTTTCAAATATCTCAATATCCAATGTCAACTTAATGGACGATAAGTTCAAAATTATTATTGTTCTATTTTTTTTAAATCGTTAATAATCAATATTATGAATAGGCATTTTCATTTTCAATTTTACTTTCTTAATTTTTTTTTCATTTTCTAATAAGCACCTAAATTTTTCATTTTATTCCGATTAAATCCTTAAAAATTTTCGATCTCTTACAAATAGTTTTTTTCTGCCAAGTTTGAGTTAACATAAATATAAATAATTTAATTTTTTTTAATTTTTCTTCTTAATATAATTATTTTTTATATATTATATAATAAAAATAAAAATTTTGAAATAAATAAAAATAATAATAATTAAAAAGTCTATTTGACTTGTTCAAATAATTTTTGATTGAGTATAATTTTAAATTGTTTTGACATTGACAATCATATTATCACACCTTTATATAAACACAACAAAACTTGGCATGTTCTTATCTTAATAGGCTTGACAGCACAACTGAAAAGGTCCAATTAACTAGAAATGAATTAAAACCGGGTCACGGAGGGATTTGTCCGCCTAATAGAATTGAAGCAGCTAGTTGCGGCTTGACATGATATTCTGCATGTGCCATGTAATCAAGCACACGAAGAGGTTTTAGGTTCTATTTCCTCTTCATTTACATATTTTTTTAATTCCCTTTAATGGTTACTGCTCTCCATATATCCATAAGTTTCGTATTGTCTAGGTCGAAAATGGACAATATCTTCATCGTTCTAAGGGCATTATGTTAGGGTCAGAGGATTAGATTTTGTGGTGGAAACATTTTGCACCTTGAACTTCATATCTATAGGATTTGATCAAAGTTCAGTATAAGGAGTTATTATTTGTTATGAACATGGAATGATTGTGCTTAAATTGTCATTCAATTTCTACCGGAGTCAAAGTCCCACATGCTATAAATTTACTTGTAGATGCTTTTTGTCTGCGTTCAGTTCACTTGGGTGGGCATAGTTAACACCAAATTATATTTGGACCTGCATTTATCACTGGTTACCTACCACTACCAGCACTGACAAAGTGACACTGCATTTACTGTTTAACTATACTTCTTGAGTAGACATGGGGGAAAATGGTGCCCATAAATTCATGAAAGCATATTAAGGGAATAATAGATGGGAGAATACAGCAAATTTTGATTCTTGTGTCTGTACCTGCTTGTTTTTGGCATTGTGGCTAATTATAGACTCTACAATCATGTCTAAGGTTTATTATATGTTTCATATCCGTACAAACTTGAACATGATAACATTATTTGTTATTTAATGTTATAACCAAATCTAATAAGGACCTCTCACCTCACTTCAAGAATCCTATAACATTTAAGGCTGAAGTACTTTCAGCTGTTTTGTTCATTTTGGTGTAAGATTAATATACTTTTTAAGGGAAAGCAGTTACTTATCTCAGTTATTTGTGTGCTGCAGAAAACTGTGCTGTCAGTAGAACTTCGCTGCTTAAGGTGCAAGAGAAAACTGTGCTGTCAGTAGAACTTCGCAACTGTTGCAGGAATCACTTCGATTGTCCTAGACCCAGACAAAAACACAGTGACAGTAGTTGGTGAGGCTGATCCAGTAAGGATAATAAAGAATGTCAGAAAGTTCAGAAAATCAGCAACAGTTGTGAGTATTGGCTCCTCAAAGGAAGAAAAGGAAGAAGATAAGAAGGAACAGAAGAAAGAAGAGCAGGAAAAAGAAGAAAAAAGGGATCCTGTTTCTCTTACTCCAAACTTGTGTCAGAGATTTGATGTGTGGCATGACTGGTATGTGACTATTGATGATGGGTATGGTCACTGTTCCATCATGTAGTTAACTTATTAATCTTGTTGTGGCATTCCTACTATTGTTAATTTCCTTATTATTTATCTGTTTAACTGGTAGAACATCTGGAATCACAAGGGAAGCCCAATCTATTCTTTGTTTAATACTTTTTTCACATTTTGAGTTTCGTTTTGGGGAAAGACTGATGAACTATCTGTATCTTACCAAACAATCCACAGACAAGTTCATTTATTAAAAAATAATAACTTTTAATTAATTAAGAAATCCATTTGTCAAATGAATGTATATTGAAAGTTGGTTGTCAGTATATAAGAACCCTATGATTTTTGTTTTGATGGTCGCTGCTTTGGTATAACATATAGCGCTAACCAATTCTTTGTTCATTCCAGCCCTGTCTTACAGCAAAATCTGCAGGAGCAGAAATTTAGATTCTTAATTTTTTTTTTTTCATCAAACTGACCGGACCAAAACATTAATAGTACAGAAATTGTAACATAACGTTATGAGTTGATGATGTTATGTTGCCTTGCTGTTTTAGATCAAATTAAGTTTTGTTAAACCTCATTAGCAGATTGTAAATTTGTAGTAGAACTGCGGAGATGAACAAATAGTAATAAATACAAATACAATGAATCACAAGAAACTTGTTGGCAGATTATAAATTTGTTGCAAAACTGTTAAGACAAGGTAGATTGGATATCAGGATTTATGCACTTAAATTTTCTTCTATTGCTGAGTGGTTTCAAGACATTAAGCAGAAGCTAGAATGTAAAATAAGGCAATGTCCTCGTACACAGTACCTCAGCGTCCTAGATAGGATGGTGTTCAGATTTCTTTCTTAGCATCAGGAACACTTGCACGTTGGACTTGTAATTGGTTTAATAGAATGGAAACCTTGCATTTATAGATGGATGGTCTCGAGTAACTGAGTATATGTTCAAAATCGGTTCAATAATGAGGAGACATCAAACCAATTGAGTAGGCATGGCAACGGGGCGGGGCGGGGGCGGGTTTTGCCTCCCCCGTCCCCGCCTCCGACTTTTTTAACCATCCCCGTCCCGCCCCGATCCTCGCGGGTTAGGAATTAGTCCCATCCCGTCCCGTCGGGTTCGGGTTCCCGCCCCGCCCGTCCCTAATTTATATTATTTTTAAAAAGATAATTATATTTATAATAAATTAATTTTACTATGTATTTTTATATATAAATAAATATTTATAATTTATAGTTATTATTAATTAAATATACATTTTAATTTATTATATTTATATTAAAATATATATGTAAAAGAAATATTTAATTATTTTTTATTTATATATATATATATATAATATTTATAACATTATTATTATTATTATTATTATTATTATTATAACACTTGTATTCAAATATTTGAATATTTATAACATTATTATTATAATACTGTATTCAAATATTTAATTATATATATAAGTTAATTTATTTTTAAGTTGTCAATATATAGTTTATAAGAAAATATTTAATAAGTTAATTCTTATTTAATTAGTTTGAAGTAATAAAAGTTTAAATTATTAATTTCTTTTAAACCTTTAAAATGCAATTATTTTATTAAGATAAAATTTGATATATGATAAATAAGCATAATAAGATAAAAAAATATGGCATAATAAATATAAATTATAAATAAACTAATATTAGTTACTACTAAGATTGATGTAAAATATTTAGAAAAAGATAAAGAAAAAAGATTAACTTTGTGTTCATCAAATTGGTTGAAAAGATTGAAAAAAAAAAAACAAATTGATGGGAGAGACTAAGAAAATGTGAAAAAGCTGAAAGATAAGGGAGAGAATAATATAATAAATTAATTGATATAAAAGATTGAGAAAGATAAAAAAAATTAAAAAGTGGGTAGAAGAAAAATAAAAATTGGTGAAATATAAAAAAATAACCTTATATGTAATAGAAAAAGAAAATGGAATACTTTTAAAATATTAATATTTTAAAATTTAAATTTAAATATAAAGTTGGGGCGGGGACGGGGCGGGGTCGGGGTGGGGATTGCATTACCCATCCCCGCCCGCCCCGCCCGACTTTTTAAAGCGGGAAAACCCGAACCCGACCCCGCCTCGGTCAACTTGGGGTTTTCCAGTCAAACTCGGGGCGGGGACGGGTCAGTCCCACGGGTATGGGTTTAATTGTCATCCCTACAATTGAGAGAAACATTTTAACTTTAAATAATAAAACTATATATTAGACATTTTTTACGGTCATATGTGGTTTTTTTCTTTATAAAAACTAATAATAAATCATTTTTGTTAATGGACCTAAAACCTGAGTTTAGTAGTTTTATCCTTGGATCGGTCTTGACTTCTTGGTTGTCATTTTAACATGATTTTTATGGTATGGATAATATTGTGAAAGAGTTCTACACTAAGATGGATCAAACTTTATTTATGTCATACACTTATCTATAATTCAGCAGTCAAATTCATCTGTATTAAAATTGAGAGAGAGAAAAGTAACGTGTAAACAGAATTCCATCATACAAGAATTGTATGATGAAATAGACAAGCCATCCTGAAGACAAAGTACTGTGCAGGTAAAATATACAACAAGCAGGAAAGAAGTAATATCTATCTCCATCAATCTGCCAAACAGCTCCGTTCTGTACAGTTATCTCTTCACCAGCAAAACTTCTTTTTCTGCTTTACAAAAACATTGGACATATACTTTCGTAAGGGTTCCCAAGCAAGATAGATAGTAACAATTATTATAAAAGATGCAAATATGTTTACATACTTCTAGTTTACTTCTTTCCTGACTATCTATATATGCCAGAAGTTCTTCTTGTCTGATCAAAGCTTCGTATAAAGCCTGTTTAGGAAATATAAACATTAGATTTTAATTTAACAGTGAATTACAATGCCATAAGTGTAATGAACAAAGCAGCAGGTTTAAAGTTTGGTAATGAGTATCCTGAAATGATGACTCTAAGCTAAAATCGTGTATTGAATTTGTTGAAAGTCACATCGCCTACCTCGTATCATTTAGTATGATTTAAATACATGTTAGGCTACTTTACATATTGTCAATTGGTTTTATGTTGGAACCTTAACAGAATTGAAGCAAAAGCTCTAAGCTAAGCATTCATCTACCTACATAACATTCGGAATTGAATTGAAAATGTGGTAGCAAGTCAAGTGCAGTGCCGAACATTTAATGTCTCTGGGTATAATAGCATCATCAGAAGATAATGATATGGAGACTCAACTCATACATAAGTTCACATTCACAACCAGAAGATTACACCAGAGAAGTTATTGGTGGACAGGCCAATTCAATGGTAAATAAGAGCCACGCATTTAAACATTTTTCTTATAAATTGAGACCTGGTAAAACAATAGGAATTGTTAAATGAAAAATAGTTACCTTCTTTGTAGCAATAAGTTCCGCTTCCAATGCATCCACACGATAAACAGCAGCATTCAGCAGCTCCTCTTTCTCAGATGGCATCACATTAGGTTTTGACTGTAGCATGTCAACCTTCTCTTCGAGGTCACCAAGGCGTTTCAAAGCAGATGAGATGAGTTCTGTCTTCGTTAATCTAGGAACAGGTGATGGGGGAAGAGATTCTTCCTTGGTTATTGAATCAATGGTCATGTTAGGCATATTTTTGGCAGAATCAGATATAGTGTCCTTTATTCTCTTAGTCACATGAAATGCTAGTGAACGAGCAATAGTAAAGATGGCAACAAAGAAGCCCACGATAACAACCCAGATATATGCACAGTTTCCACCTGATTTTCCAGTCCTCAACAGGAAATTTTCTGCAACAAATACATTACAATTATATTTCTCTAGGACGCCAACAACCTTGGTAGTAAAATTAAAATCCAAATCCAAAATATACTACCTTGCAAAATTTATTTATGTAGATGAAAATGTACGAATTTCTTATTTTCATTATAATGAAAATCTTACTTTATTTGAAAATGGATATAACTAAAAATGAATCCAAATATGTGGAAAAAAGAAGTATAAACCATAATTGTGAAATTTTGTAATTCTTCTATGCCATTTATTTTGTTAAGCACAACCATAAATATTTTGTATTTGCAAAGAATATGTGCCTGTTTTACTCCATCCCATCAGCTTCAAGAATATGACAGCAAGTTAACAATGGGGTCATATCAGAGTCAGTAACTTCAGGGAATATGCATCAAGTCTCTAACCTGTTGAGTCATACGAGTTTTGAGTTGTTACTTGTTTCTCCTTCCATCCGAGGTCAACAGCCTTGTCAACCATGGGAACATACTCATCATACTCAGAGAAACCGCCAGAAGGATTTGCCCTACCAATCAATCTTGCCTGGGCAAACATCAAAGTAGTTGTATTTCATTTACTGCAACATTTCTATATCTTTTCTTTCTTTTTGCGACAGCAATACCAATGTCAGGATGACTTACTTCTTCGTGGACAGGAGTTAACCTAGGGTTTGTATAATTTCCACTTGCTTTGGGAGAAGTGATATCTTCGACTTCAGATCCAGATTCTGCTGTTGATGTATCACTACTTCTTATCGGCTAATAAAATCCAAAACAAAGAGTTTATAAGAATCATAAAATGTGCTCTCATTCATGAAGTCTCTAAGAATGGATGGCTAAAATACAAAGAAAGAGCTGATAAGGATTGTAAAAATCTGAAAGTTTTCATTCATGAAGTGTCTAAAATGGCTATACCATTGGAAAACATGCCTTATCACATTCAATAATGGTGCCCTCATCGTTAGAAACCGTAACTATTTGCCTAGAACATTGCACTTCCCCACTAAGAACCATCTGCATGCACACAACTATTGTAGCTGAGTCACAGAAACATTATAAACATTTCGCGAGAAGCAGAGTCTAAACATTACATGATAAGTTGCAAACCTTTAAAATGTTCGGATCCTGCCATGGACCTTTGTCAGACCTCATACAACCACCTTGATCTATACAAGTGCAACTACCACCAAGAAATTGAGGTAGCTCACTGAGAAACCACACAGATAGTCAGAATTTCCAAATAACTACACAAGCTTATTCATAAGTATCATTATCCCCCAAAATTATTGAAGAGTTACCTCACATCAATAATTTCAAGTAATTTGTTCTGGAACTTGTTTCCAAGAACCTAACGGAACGTTGAAGTAAGTATCAGATAAAACTGTACCAATAGATTATCTATGGCAATTGTAAGAGATTATTATTTCATTGAAATCCTATAAAAATCTAAAACAGAAAGAATAACAGATAAGATAATTCACACTTACATTTATCTTTGAAGTAGTTTTGGGATCAAGAAATGATTTCACTGTGTTCCAAAGCAGCTTAAAACCGGGACCAGCATTGATTATAAACATTTGACATAATGTCTGCGCAGAAACTTTTATAGGTTAGAAGAGATACCAGCACAATAAGTTCAGAAACCATCAAGAATTGAAAACCACCCAAAAAAAAGTTTCGACTAAAGTTGCGTACTTCTGGATAGTAATCACCATCAATTTTCTGCAGCCGCATGATGAGTTCCCGTGCAGATTTGGTTAGGTTTTTGAAACCCTGAAAGCATGATGCAGCAACAAACCCATAGTAACTATTGACTACATGTATATTAAAATAGTGGGAGGAAACTTTGCAGACCATTTAGATAGACAACATACCACACCATGAACGTCCAAAATGGTTGTACTTGAATCTATATGTCTCTTTGCAGCAATAGAACACGCAGGAAACTTAACAGCAAACGTTTTCTCAAAACCCTGCACATGGTATCTCAAATACCTTTCTATGGTAGTCACTTGCATAAGCTTACTGGGATCAACCTTGCCTAACCTTTCTATATAAACAGGTCTTCCTTCCTTATCCACACCATGATAACCATGTGGATAGTACTTCAAGACTTCATCCAACTCTCTGAATTCAAAATCCTAAGATAACAATGAATGCGGAAAACTAAAATGTAAAGTGATGGAGTCAAACAAGGTCAACCAAATAAGAAGTTGATTTTTCAAATCAAATGACTCACCTCCATAATCGTATCAGTACCATAGTCTTTCCTCCACTGGATCATGTTAGCCCACATGTGTTTTGCTTTCTCAATATCAAACTTCCTTGCTTTCAAGAATCTGTAACAAAATCAGTTAATTCAAGTTTTGTATTACACTCTAAGGCAAGCAATATTTTATGTAAACAAAATATGCCATGATCAAAATGTTATGACCTTTTCTGTGTAGTTTTTGAAATACTGAGGGCCATGATTAAAACCAATCTATTATAAATGAGTTGAGTTACTAAAGGTATAACAAATTAACAGTCATACATTGCATATATTGTAATCTATCTTCATCGGCGATGTTAAAATATAAGTGATAAGGAGCAGTAACCTCAATAACATATGATAGTCATCATGTCTTGATGGCAACAAGTTATCCGACATAAGCGCCTGTCGAAAAGCATCCACGGCTTGGAGCTCCTTAACATCTCGAACATCCTCAATGGAGACCGAATTGCTTCGGCTCGCGCTCTTCCTCCTGCTGCTCTTCTTCCTAAGAGAATGCCTGAACTTGCTTGAAGCATTGATTGCTTTCTTTTTCAAACTACCAATCCTCGTTCGCCGATCATCCTCTGAATTCTCAAAATCCGATCTCCTCTCCCTCCTTTCATCATGGCCAGAAAACCCCTCAAAGCCTATCAAACAAAGTTTCACCACAATCCTTTCCAGTTATATTCCAAGGCTCAGAATTAGACACAAACTCACAAGTTGATAAGGCTCAAGCTGTAAATTGTTCATTACAGGCAAATTCAAAGAGATCGATTATCAAACACTACAGTAGTGCAACTCGATTGTCAAATCTATGTATGTATTATCAGATTAGTGCTAAATTAAATTCAGCTGAATTAGACCATAGTTCAAGTTGATTTGGTGTTGCAGATAAAAAAAAATAGACAATTGAATCCGTAAAGAGGTAATTAATGCGTCGAATTGCGAAAATTGTGAGAAGAATGAAGTTACTGGTACTCACAGGGACGTGCGAACCTATCAAGCGGCCCTGACATGTGAATACTGTTAGATGAATATGAAAGATGTTTTGTGGATGAAAGAAAACATCAAATTGAAGGCCCCGACAGATAAAACCAATTCAGTAAAACAGAAACCTAAGCCAGAACCGAAAACAAAAAAGATTGCAATAATTATGATGTTTTATTGTACTGGACAGAAGTTTGTTTGAGATGGGTAGAAGATGTCGGCAGAAGAAGAAGAGAGAAGAGAAAGAGAAGAGGAAAAGAAAGAAATTGATTATGGAACGGTGAAAAATAGCAATGATTCATAAACTGTAAAAATCTAAAGTCAGAGAAGGTTGCTGCCTCCTCAGCCAACCAGACGGTCAAATTCATTCAATCTATTATTTAAATGATCGTTTACCAGATGATTTGTCCTATGAGAGTGGTTACTTATATTATATGATTCATGTTAAGCCAGGATATGGCGTTTCAGTCTAAGAAGTATTTCGATTTACATCACTTCAAAACATTAAGAGAGAGTTTAAATCTTATTGTTTTACACGATCAATTCTTTTTCACCGTACAATTTTTTTTAATTTAATTGTTAATTTTTCATAAATAAATATAACTTGTCATTCTAATTTTAAAAATAACGATTGAATTCAAGAATATTTTTATAAAATTAAATGTGATATTATTTCAAATGAAGAATGCTCCACACAATGGATTCTCACATGGAATGGCTTGTCATTTTGGGGTCCTACCAGTGTTGCATTATGAGCCACCTTGCGTTGTTTTTAGGTCAGTCCACCATTATTATTATCTCTAAATAGGGGGGAATTCGCCGTCGGTGCGGTGGTGGTTGGTTGCTTGGTGCTATCCTACCTGCACCTTCCTCATCAACTTTTTTTTTTCTTTTTCTATGGTCACTCATTATTTTTTATTTTATAATCTATCATTCTCTGGTCGAGATTGTCTAGCATCAAGCGTTTCTAATCATTTTTATATAATCCATGTCTCATGGTTTTTCGATTGAATGCAAACCCAAATATCATTATTCTCTCATTATTAAGAAATAATAAATTGCAATATTTTATATTCACGCAATGTTTCCTTTTCCGTTTTTTCAAGTCCCCGTAGAGACAAATTATTAGTAAACATTTTAGTTTTACTAATCGTTGCACGAATTGGGACTATGGACTTTCCTTCAACCGTAAGCCACTTGGCTTTCTCTTTCTAGAAAGAAAAGAACACTATATATAATAATATAACATTAATACAGCGGATTCGATTTCTTTTGTAACATTGTTAATGGGAAATCGATAAACGGATCGAAAAACGAAGGAAAGAAAAAATCGAAGATCATATAATTGGTAGAAGACATCGAGAACGTATTTTCGATGAAATTGGTAAAAGCTGGTAACCACAAAGATAAAAGTACATCGAGAATCAAAATTGAGAATCGAAGAAACAAATTTCGATGCCTATTGTTGAAGTTAGAATAGTACAAAATTAAAGGGAATCAAAAGCAAAATTCAAAATACTCGACGTCTGAAATCGAGATCGAGGGAGCGGTTAACACACACAGGGAACGTGGGAAACAGTTTCTAAACCGCAACAGAAATCGAAGGAGGAGCAGTTCCCTTATACGTAAGAACGTGGAGTGCAGTTTTTAAAACGGTAAGACTAAAGGAACGGACACGTAAGATCGTGGTGATAGTGGTATTAACCACTCGTGGGAGGTTACTTGAAGGATGCTCTATAAATAGAGCGAAGACTGGAAAAGAGAGGAAAATGGGCAGAGAGAACAGAAATACTAGTGAGAAGTCTACTGGAGAACGACGCAATCATGAAATTTCTGGCGATCTGGATTTCCATTTTCGTTGACTGCCTTTATCGTTTTCTTTACTTTCCCTGGTAATTTATATTCATGTATATTTAAGTTTCTGTACTTTCGATTCCTCATCATTTACCTTAATGCAATTTAAGTTTCTGTACTTTCGATTCCTCATCATTTACCTTAATGCAATTTAAGTTTCTGTACTTTCGATTCCTCGTCATTTACCTTAATGCAATTTAAGTTTCTGTACTTTCGATTCCTGTTCATTTACCTTAATGCAATTTAAGTTTCTGTACTTTCGATTACTTGTCATCTACCTTAATGCAATTTATCTTGTGCAATTTTGATTTCCTGTTATTCTTTTTCTTGCAATTTCGATTTCCTGTTGTCTATTTTTCTGCAAAGTTCGACTTTTTGCTTATTTACAATTATGCAATTTTTGATTCCTTGCCATTTACACTTAATGCAATTTTGAGGTTTCCGCACTTTACGTTTTCTGCAATTTAATATTTCTCCGCAAGCTTTATATTCTGTCCTGCTTTTCGATTTTATATTTTACTGCTTTCTTTATTTCGAGTGCTTTAAATACAAAATACCAAAAACAGCGCTTTCGATTGTCATTAGGTTACATTAAGATTTGTGGTACTTTCGATTCTCATACATATTTCGATTGAAAACCATTTGCTAGCCTAAGTAAAAAGGACCTACGTGGTTGGGATTTGGTTAGAACAAAATTCCCTAGAAATCGAAATCGATCAAAATTCCACCAGAAACAAATTGGCGCACCAGGTAGGGGTCGTTTGTGTCGAAAAACACAAAATTGGTTAGTTCGAAAGTGTATGAGATTAAGGAGTGGGCGAGTAATAGGAATGAGTTAGAATCCACCAAATAACCAGAGTAACAGTGAAGGTATGAACAGTATGAATGGGTCACATCCACCAAACACTGGGGGCAAGGGCATGGGAATATGCCTGTAGTATCGACAACCGCGGGTATGTCGATTACTGTGAGTAATGAACAAAGTTCAGGTACATTAGTAAATACTCAAGTAGGGTCTAGTACTGTGATACCGAACAATATGCAAACTATGGGAAACCCCATAACAACATATGTTGGGCCGTATATGAGCGTGAGGCCACCTGGTTTTTCGCCTAATAATATAAATGGGGCTAGTACGTCTTCAATACAACGAAATTCGAGATTTAACCTAGGAATGCCTCAAAACTTAGGTACATTTCAAACTCTAGGTATGCCGCAAAATTTCGGAGTATCTCCAAATTTAGGGGCGTCTCAGAATTCAGTAGCCCCCCAGAATTCAGAGAGTGTGCAGAATTTAGGTACACAACAGACACCTCCAAACATTGATCACAGAGCAAATCTGGATCAGGGGAGATATACATTCGATAGAGATTATCATCGATCCAATTTCGAGACTATCGAAAATGCTAGTACTGGAATCTCCAGTAACTCATTAGGAGTATTTAGACAACAAATGGATGAAAGCAATTTTGAGATGATTAATATGTTATCATAACAGTTGACTACAGTCCTAAACCCATTAGTTCAAAACACTACTACTAGTTTTGAGATATTAGCATACCAAATGGCCCGTATCGGGAATGCATTGGCCATACCTCGACAAACGAGAATGGAAAATCATGCCACTCAGAGCATTAACCAGAACGCTAATATTAATCCTCCTTATTTATTAAGGAGAAATCGATACAATGATCAACATCAGAATCTAGGGAACGAATATCAGTATGTGAGGAATGATGTTTATGGAAATCTAAATGAGGGATTTCAGAACATGTATAATCAAAATAACATGCAGTACAACCACATGCCAGGGCAAAGGATGAACCCTCAAGGGGTAGAATTAAGGCCACACAATCAACCATACTTTGTTTCTCCTTTTCCAAATACGATTCTCGAGACAAAATTACCTCGAGGATACAAAGTACCTAAATTCACCAAATTTGCTGGAGAAATTGGTGAGTCCACTATCGAACATGTAGCTCGATATCAGATCGAATGTGGGGACCTAGCTATGAGTGAAGAATTAAAAATGAAATATTTCCCTAGTTCATTAACTAAGAATGCTTTCACTTGGTTTACTTCGTTGCCACCCAATTCGATATATAATTGGTTGCAATTGGAAAGATATTTTCATGAGCAATTCTTTAGAGAAGAGACTCAAGTAAGTCTCATCGACTTAATGAATATAAAGAGATACAATCATGAAAGTATAGACGATTATTTGAATAGATTTAGACAAATGAAGTCAAGGTGCTTTACTCAAATTCCTGAATATGAATTAGTCAGAATGGCCTCCGCAGGTTTAGAATTCTCGATTAGGAAAAAGTTGGTTAATTTACCATTGAATGACATGGCTCAGCTAGTTGATAAAGTGAGAAGAGTGGAACAAATTGAATATGAAAAACAAAGGTATAAGAAATTTGAGAAACCATGAAGAAAGAAAGAGTAGCATATATAAATGATGTGTATGAGACAGATCTCAAGACAGAAACTGATATTGAAGAAACTATCGATGAGAAAGTAAATATAGCAGAGCTCAAAGTAGGAGCTCCATATATTTGTAAATTGCTACAGAAAAATGAAGTAAAAGACAAAATGGCAAATCGAACGTATACTTTCGATGTAACAAAAGCCGATAAAATTTTCGATATTCTATTGAAAGACAAGCAGATTAAGTTGAGTAATGATCATAAATTTCCATCTGCAGAACAAAGGAATGGTCGAAAATACTGCAAATTTCATAATATTTATGGATATTGGACTAATAATTGTATACATTTCAGGAACACGATCCAAGATGCGATCGACCAAGGAAGGCTGAAGTTCGAGGAGATGTCAATGAAAGTGGACACAAGTCCATTCAAGGTGCAAGTAGGGTATATCGAATCCCAGACGGACATGACTGAAGATGTCCGATTGACAAATTCGACCTTTGTAGGCATGGTTGATGTTACTAAAGACATCGATCCCAAGCATGTCAGAATGGACGTATCTGAAGAAGACATGGAATTCGACCTGAGTGAGTTCGAGAAAGAATTCGAGAGATAAATCTATCCTCGATCAGGAGACTCCCTCGTCGAGTTTTTAAACAGAAAGAAAGAAAAGGATGAAGATGTGGCGTTATGCCCACGATGCAGTGCAATATTCGACAGGTCAACTGCTAAAGCTTTCAGAG